AAGTCGGAGCTGAAAATTTCTACTCTATTTCTTTCACGTACTTACACAGTCAGCGATTTGACTTCGAAATGTATCGAATTAATTTAGGCACGTTTAGAAATCTTCGAAGCATCCTCGACTCGAGAAATTCGGAAAGGTTGTAGGAACTAAAGGAGCGCATTCTCGCTCGTTCGGTCATCTCGATGGTGACCGCTATCCAGTTTACGAGCAACGAGTCTCCCGACGAGATCGATCGACCCCGCGATCGCGTCGCGTGTCGCATGCCAAATGGTCCAAAATCTTCTAAGGATCGCGCCGGGTGTACCGGGTATAATAATACTAGACGGCGCTTACTAAAGATCACGCTGTATGCCTATCACGAGCGCGACGGACCTCTGCTAGCCAGGATCTGTCGCGGGCGATAAGCTCGAAGGTTCTTCCCTTGCCTCTCTCACCTTGACCGGCGAGAGAAAGAAAGAGAGAGAGACACGCATACACGTTCAGTCAGCATCGTTCGAGTGCAAGTCTTCCACACTAAAGTCTCTCTTTCTCAAATTCGCGCGACAATCGGTAACGCCGCGAGACATCCGCGCCGAGATGGAAATGATCGTGGATGGGAGTATCGCCGCCAGATCGTCCCGAAGTCTCCCGTCGAGCGAAAGGAAAAAAAAAGTGAAATCAATCATGAGAGGCGAGAAAAAGTAAAAGGGATTGATGCGCAAAAGAAAATAACCGCTTATCCGCGATGCGCCGTCCGGCGCATCCGGTATTTCTCAAATCCGTTCTTCGAAAAATAAGAGCGATATATTTCAGATGATGTGTGCCTTAGAAGCTAAAAAAAAAAATGTACAAGTTCGAAGATGCGCGACAAACATGAGATAAGAGTAATAAATTAAACGGCACTGCGCTGCGCAAAATTTTATCCGTTTTTCTTAGGTTCTATCGAAAGGGATGCTAATTCCTAGAGATAGCGCGTTTTTTTTATCGAAGGAAAACGAAGCAAGCGACTTATGCAGCTTTTACTTGAATAACTGAAGCAATTATCGAGTTATTTTCAAAATATGACGCGTCGCGTCGTCGTCGTCTCTCTTTCTCTAAAAATTTGCATAATGCGGGATAAAGATTTGCATGTTGTGGCTGCGTCAGATAAAAATCTCTTCGGTAGGAAATGTCGCGGGCGCGCGCGGGGAATAATGTAAAAATACTGTACAAAAAAAAAAGAAGTGAAATGGACGAAGCAAAGGTCACTTCACCGCAGGCTCACACCAGCATTTCCATTTCTAGGTGTCACGGATGATCCGGTCCAAGTTTTTTTCATCGCGCGCAATTCCCCTCGAGAACGTCGCCGCGGAATTAAAGTGAGTGGTACGTGATAGAATAACGCTTTTTCTTTTTTTCCTCTTTTATACAGCCGTCCCGATCGACGACGATCGTCCACCTTAACAAGACCAATTCAACTCGCGCAATTAACGGGGAGGGCCGGAATCGACGTCGCATTATTGCGCGACGTCGATCCGAAGATTAAGACGTAAATTGTTAAAATTATAATTCGGATGACAGTTTTAAATCCAAATTGTGTGATGCAAATCTCTTGGATCCTCTCGTGTCTCTTTCATAGCCTTTCATCTCTCAATATACCGTGTTCATACAGGTGCTACCTCGAGCTGAGTTTAACGTTGACCAGTTTGGTGAAACTCAATTTAATTGACTCTGCTCTGATTTTTTTTATTGATCTTTACTTTTCCGAAATTTTTGTCCAATGATTTGTCTCTTGATTAAAGCAACGTCTACAATGAGACTCAAGATTTAAAATTTAAGAAAACTGACCAAAACCTCAAACTCTTTAAAGTGGACGTTGACAATGAAATAATATAAAAAAAGCTTTCACGAGCGGACGATCGTCGTACGGTCTTCTTACGAAGAGTAGTCATTGTTTCATCGCGAATTTGTTCTCTGATTAACTGTCGTAATATTACTTTAAGAAATAGAGAACAGGGATATATATATATATTTTATATCTATAATATATATATCGACTAATTAATATGCCACCTTGTAACCATCGAATAACGTTAACACGTCAAACATACACACATATATTCTCTCTCTCTCTCTCTCTCTCTCTCTCTCTCTCTCATGTCGCTATTGCGGTTCTCGCACGTGTTCATGGGCTCGACGTACATTGGTCTCGCTGCTCGCTAATTGTATCTACGTAATTAATGTCATATAGCAATAATAATGGCTCTAAGGCGCCGCCTGATCGACCGCGGATTGCGTTCCAGGACAAAACGTCGACTGAAGGTGGAGATGCCACCGTTATTGTGCCACGTCACGTGAGCTCGCATCTTGTTTACATTGCACCGTAAATAGTAACAGGTGGTACCGATGGTGTTAGTAGCGTTGATTTTGTTAGTCATTGATGTGCTGTTTCGCAGAGTTTTTTTTATCCCCTCATACACGCTTTATTTGCTCTTACAATTGTTTTTATTTGCTCACATTTTCGTTGAGCGCGCGATCCGTATATATATATATGTATATATATATATTTATTTATCCGTTATTGTATAAATTATTGTACACCATGTAAATATCACGCTTCTCTCTAAAATAAAATATACAAAACAGTATATACGTGCGCGTATAAAAGAGTAAAACGTAAAAAATAAAAAATATATACCTTTCTAATTATTTTCTACTTAAAAGATAAAGCATACTTTTCTAAAAGTTCTCCTCTTTCAAAACGTCGAATGATTTAAATTACAACTTTCTCCAGATATATATATATATATATATATATACATTGGATTTATTCTTAATACCGTTCACTAATTATATAGCGTTATTTCTTGTAAAAAAAAAACTCGTCGAAAAATCGAAAAGTCTTGAACGTAGTTTTTCTATAATACTCAATAAAGCGATCACTATACAATATTACTGCTTTATTGAGCATTGCAGAGAAAAATGGTTCAGGACTTTTTGACTCAATTTTTTCATAAGAAATAGCGTGTATATAATTAGTGGACGCTATTTAAGATGCACCATATATATATATTTAGCATAGTTGCATTCATTCGACGGTGTAAAGAGCCGTTTACAATGGGAGTAATATGGTGTAGTAAATCGTAAGTCGTAAGAAATTGATCAATCATAGTCGATTATTCTCCTCATATTCGACTGCGATTGATCAATTTCTTACGGCTTACGACTTACTACTTCACATTACTCTCATTGTAGACGGCCCTTAATACTACGGTGAGACGTGAGCTCGCGTGCGTACGACGACGATGCGTCTCCACCTCGACACGCGTTCTCGCACTTTCTCGCGCACACACGGGGCAGGATTCATGCGTACCTCAAAAGTTAAAAGGTGTATATATACTCCCTAAGGTTTCGCGCATGTTGCAACAGTGCAGCAGCTCGTGTAATAAATCAGCATCCTTGTGCCACACCCACAGCCTCAGAAGTTTTACATTAATACAGTCATATGCTAATTTCTACGCCATTGTGTCGCCAGTGTATATATATGTATATATAATATATATATATTTATATATTTATATATAATATATTCATTTATTTATATGTCTCTTCGAATATTTATAATTTGTCGCACGCACGCGCGCGACGCGATTGGTGGGTATCCAAGTATTACAAAGAAGCAAGTGCAACTCTCTCTTTCTCATACAGAGCGGATTAATTGTTAATTGGCTCTTATGATATTTCTCCGCTAACAGAGGTATATGTACATGATTTTTTTTCCTTTAAATTGAATGCCATTTCCCCGGGGAATCGTAATCATCTTCTCTGTATCATTTAACGAACGTAAATCCATCGAATTGTTACAACAGTTGTCAAATAGTCTATCGTCGTAATTACGATAATTATCGAACAGCTCGTTCAATGATTACAATAATTATCGCAAGATGCTCCGCGTTAAGTTGTCTGTCGTACATTCTACGAGAAAGAAGTGTATATGCATAAAATTAAATACAATAGAAATATTACAAATATATATTTATAATATATATTAAAAAATTGATGTTAATACAATTAATTGTCATATAAACTTAATTAATTATATATCATAAATATATATTCTATTGTATTTAATTGTATACGCATATGTGTTACGTATACGTGCGTGTATATATGTATATACGTAAATATACACGTATATATATATATATTTTTTTTTTAATTATCGAGTTGCATAAAAATCACGGGTGATCCTTCGTTTAAATCGCCGTGGTGCTCTCCTTCGCCTTTACTTATTTATAATACTTACATAGACACACCTAACTTATTCTTAGCACAGTACTTCGCGATGATCGGGTATACGCTCGCGCCTTTCGCCGCCGCTAATACCATCTTAAAATATACACTTAAGGGGGTATGCGTGTATACGGATGTGTACGTGCGTATATGTGTGTGTGCCGTGTTTATAATATATTTATATACGCAGACATATATATGTATATATTAATTTAGAATTGTGCAATGAAGGTATTAGAGCCATTAGTGCGACTACTGCTGCGGATGTGGTTGGACGTCGCGCTCTCTCTCTCTCTTCCTTTCTCGCTGATAACTATTATCGTGTATCAAGATTGCAGGTGCGTGTATCTCTGCAAGTGCGTTCTCGCGTTTGCTGGATCTACTCGGTGGGCACGACTCTGGTTCGCTGCCTCTCTCCCGCCTCTCGCTATCCCGACGTTTACTACGATCTTTATTACACCGACGATGGGGACTGTCTCGGACTCTCCGATAAAAATGCGTCAAGGTCGGCTCCCTCAAGGTCGGCCAAGGAGCCTCCTCCTCTCGCAATTCATGTATACTTAATCGAAGTAAACCAAAGACGTTTCGATTATATATCTTAGGCGCGTCCCTTTGATCTCGACCCCTTTCTCCTTTCCCGGCTATTTAAAGATTCGTGCCGTTATAACGTGGCGTAGTACGTCGCTCGGTACTCGTGCTGCGTTCATAATGCGGGAAAGGATTTTTTTCTTGCGTCGTCGAAACTCTCTCTAAGGCAGGACGATGCGTTTACCCTGGCGAGGAGCGTGATCGGGGTCGGTCTGTTCCGTTGGTTTTCGCTTCCCCGATCTTCCAATCTGCACGCTAGTAAATCCTCTCTTGCGAGTACCCGGAGAGGGTGCGCCCGGAGGTCGGTTTTCTTCACATTCCTCCACTTGGCGAGGATCCGTCAATCCGCTCGTTCGTTTCACCATCAGTCCGTTTAATCCCTCAGCTCTATATACATCTTCGTTCGTAGTTTCTATCTCAAGTAGATCAATATACACCGCGCCCCCGTTCTCTTAACTCGAAAGCTGCCTTATCCACGCTGGCTCACATTCAGCTGCACCATTCGTTCCGATTATAATTCGACGTAGCTAACTTCCTGCTGCTGCTCCTCCCTCTGAGATTCTTCCTATATCGTAATTATGGACGTCTGTTTCCAGTGGTAAAGCGTAATGTCTAAACGTCGCGTAACCCTCCAATACCTAATAATACTTTCGCGCGTACTCTTTCGACGGTATTCCGAGCACAGGCGCGTACTCGGGTGCTTCTACATCTCGGACCATCAGCAATTCCCCCAATCCCCGTACTTTTCTCTTTTTTTTTTCTTCATGTATATAATCGTTATCCTTGCTTCGATACCCAGCGACAAACGTTTTCCCCCTCAACTCGCCCACGTCCAGCTGACTCGACCCACGACGTCGCCAACCGGTGATCTCGATTTTCCGCGAGCCCAGATTCGGGGCTAAATGCCCGAATGAATTTAACGGCTGTGCCCTCACGCCCTTGCGTCCCGTTACGACGAGCCGAATCCGCGTGTCCCAGATCTCCTGCAGAGAGGATCCTACGGAGACGTCACTCTTCGCATCCCGTCGGGGCGGAAGGGGGGCGAAGACACGGATCCTGCCGTACCGCAACCTCCGGCTACATGGACAGGCTCGGAGACGGAGGCGGCGGTCGCCGCTCGACGAGGAGGCTGCCGTGATTCCTGGCGAGGTCCTCCCGGCGGTCCCGCGTAGGACCCGCGCGTAGGACCCGTTATACCCAGGAGTCGCCGGCGGCGGCGGC